AGAGAGAGAGAGAGAGAGAGAGAGAGAGAGAGAGAGAGAGAGAGAGAGAGAGAGAGAGAGAGAGAGAGAGAGAGAGGATGCTCACCTGGAATTGGCGATGCGGGAGAAGCCGAACGACGAGCCATGACGCCAAGTTATCAGGCATGTATCTGCCCGTATTTCTGTAGAAGGTACATTCACACTTGCAAGGCTGATCAATGGGGGTGAGGGGGGGCATACGTGGGAAAAGCCGACTCACCTGCCCTTAGATTGCAATCAGGGTGCTTACCCGCAAGGAGCGAAGAAGTGAACTACGGGATTGACAGTCTGTCAATTAGCTAAGACACAACCCGTTCTACGGAACAAGGGAGTGAAACGGAAGCAAAGACTTACCTCGGAGAAACTGATGAGGCGAGACGAAGTGAAAACCGACAGTGGCATATACATTTGACCACATTGCTGTTGGCATTGAGCGCTGCCATTCCACTTCAGAACAGCCAGGACTGTGTTATCCGGCCGCTACCTAGATTTCGAGGTCACAGTCGATGCACATCAGAACAGACGTCTCATCATGCATTCAGCCGAATAAGAAGAACTCTTACATTGCCCTGTTGTTGTGTCTAACTTTCGGGTGCCGTTATTGCCGTGCTGTGGAATACAGTTAACGCAGAACTCAACCTCCATCAAGTGAGCCTATTGGTGTCTTGTTGTTACTGCGGTTGGTGCGGGTCTGTCACAACGACTTTCGGATAGAGCACCACGGGCGCATCTTATTTAAACGCCGCCCTTCTAGATCACATAGTTAGTTTTGTAAGAGGAAGGCTACTACCGCCCTTTTCGCAGGACATTAATGTAGGCTCCATAACCAATACAGGCCAGTAGAACTGTAGATGTCGTGCTTCAATGTTGTAGTTGTTGTTAAAGCACTGTTGGTTCCGCTGCTTGTCTGACTAAGGTTGATGGTGTTCTGAGGAGCTGTCGAGACTACCAAAAAGTGTGTTTGATGTGTTGTGCTCTGGTTGCCGTTACTGTCGGTGCCTTGCCTGCTTTCAAGGTCGTTGCTTCTCAGTTGTTGCCGATACTATTGTGGCCTGGAGGTCGCAGTTGTGTGCAACTACTGCGCTAGGGGGGGGTTATAACCCATGACTTAAGTAGGAAACGAGGGTGAACAAACTTTTCGAAAGGAGGTATTGCTGCGAGTCTGGAAGGTCGTCAGAGGATCAACAACAAGCGGTAAGACTATAGCTGATCAAATGTGTTGTGCATTTTTACCACCGTTGCGGGACCCTCAGACGATTGAAGATTGCAAGGCCCTTTCATAGGAGTTGAGTCAGTCCCTCTCTTGTATCTCGAGAGTCTGAAACCCCTCCTTCTGCCCTTCCTACTCTCAGTCTAATCCTGTTCTGAGAGGAAGGCGGCAGGTGGGATTGCAACCCCGAGGACCGCAGCAAGACTCTGTGGGGAGTCAGCCCACTGATTTTGGGAGCTCTGCCAGAACTCAGGAGGAGTTTTGGAGGCAGGGAACTGAGAGGTAACGGTTTCATCCTCCTTTTATAAACCCAGTTATAACCCCAATCTGTATCTCTTGCTATGTTTGACTGAGTATACTGCATACACCTTTACTTTGACTTTGAGTTTGATTTTCAAGACACAAGCCATATTTAAATAAAGGATACATGTGCAACGTCAGTTTCAGTTTTGTTGTCTGACTGAAAGCAGATTATGAACAGGGGTTGCATCTGGGGGAAAGGTGGAAGAAAAGTTGTATTGCTTGTGTCTGACTGGGTCAACCAAAGGTTGGGAGAGTCTCCATAAGATTGGAGGACCCAGTAATATGTTTATTTTTGATTGCCTGAAGGACCAGACAAGTTCTCATAAGTTTGGGTGGTCTGGTTGCTCTGACTTGCGAGGGCTGCTTGTGATTGCTTTTTCAGGGACCAAACAAATTTCCATAAGATTGGATGACTTGGCTGCCTTGTTTCGTTTGAGATTTTTCTGATGTTTATTAGTTTCTTCAAGTTTATTCTGAGCAGAATTCAGGGGAAGGGCTGCACTGGTTCCCATAGGATTGGGTGGTCTGGTCTGGAGCGATGCACATGTTATAACCAAAGGGATAAATTTGTTTATATTCTTATATTATTTTACTTATAAACAGGCTAGTCGGACATTTTTCCATAAGATTGGATGGTCTGACTATAGCTTATCATCAATTGAAAACAGTATGAATTAAGAATAAAATTGTGGTAAGAAGGGACAGGTTGAACCTTGATCTAAGATAATCAGTTCAGTCATATGTTACCTTGAAAGACAAAATGCAGACAATTTTATATAACTTGGATACTTAAACGGTTCAGGGCGACTAGGTTGGCTAACCTAGTCATGTGCCCAAAAAAGAAAAAAATTGTATTGCCCCGTGTTTGTGTATATTCTATGGATGAGCTAGACTGGTTTCCATAAGGGAAAAATCAGTGAGAGACTACAAACTATTGTTTGACCAGGTTGACTTGAGGTTGGTGAGAGTACTTACCTTTGTGGTTTGGCCTTGCATGTGACTGAGAGAGATTCCTACTTGGTCTGAGTTTAAGTTTCACAGGTAGTTGCTTTAGATGCTCGCCACGTGCTGGAGCCATGATAGGAGTTGGTTTCAATTCCTGCATTTTTCGAGCTAAGTTTTTTTTTTTACTTAGGTCGATTTTTGCATTTTCTGGGATCATTTGTTGTACTTGGTCTTGTATAAATCTTGGTAAGCTACTTTCTCTACGGAAAGCGTTGCCGAAATTTCTACAAAGTTAATGAGTTAGTCACAGTGCTGACTTTTTGACTTAGTAAAAATCTAGAAAGCCTCATTTTCTAAAGGGAATGCTGCCCAAATTTTTGCTACTTCAGGGAGTTAGACGAAATTGAACCTTGAGAAGTCAAAATCACTTTAGATTCTGAACTTAACTTTGTATAAATATTGACAGTGCTGACTTTTTGACTTAGTAAAAATCTGGAAAACCTCATTTTCTAAAATGAGTGCTGCCCAAATTTTTGCTACTTCAGGGAGTTAGACGAAATTGAACCTTGAGAAGTCAAAATCACTTTAGATTATGAACTTAGCTTTGTATAAATCTTGAATTTGCACTTTTCTAGAGGGAGTGCTGCCGAAATTTCTTCAAGTCTAAGGAGTTAGTTAAATTTTATCTTAGTCGAACTCATATTTTTTTTGGGTTCATAACTGATTCCGTAAAAATCCGGAAAGTCTTCTTTTCTAAGAGGAATGCTTCCCAAATTTTTATGAATTCAGGGAGTTAGACAAAATTTGACTTTCCATAATTATATATTATTTTTGTTTTCATATCTGGGCTAGTATAAAGTCTGAGAAGACATTTTTCCTTACGGGAAGCGTTGCCGAAATTTTCTTAGTTTAAAGGAGTTAGATTATATTTTTATACATGACGATTCTAGCAATCCATTCTGTATAGAGGAGATCCGACCTGGATCTACCTTTTCCTTAGATGTCCGCTAAGGGATAGATTTAAACTTAGTTAATTAAAGTCGATGATTGACTGAGATTGTGATATGAAGATTATTCTCCATGGACTTATAAATTTAGCTTGAGAATTGACCTGTCTTGTGTTACAAGTCCTCTTGATTGATTCGATTCAGGATCTGGACTAGATTCATCTTGATCCCACAAGGATCATCTTCTGTTATCAATGATAATCGGTCGGTTGGTTGTTCGCCGACTCGTCGGCTCACGAGACAACTTTGCTTACACCTGTGCCTCAACTTGATTGCCTTAGGCCTGAGATTTGATATGTTTCTTTGAGGGCTTTAGCCGGACTTCTTTTGATGGTCATTATAAAAGACTTATGAGATTTATGGAAGGTTGGACATTGGATGGGGCTTGAGTGTGAGGCGTGGTGTGAGTTACAAGGAAAAGTAAGATTGACCACATTGGTGTACTGCAATGTGACTATTGTGTGTGCCTATGTTTTATGGAGGTTAGTATCTGAAGCTTGGTATATGAGCCGTACCTTGAGGACAGTGAGAATGATAACCATTTGACGCACGATCTGCATACCAGATGGGTTTATGTTTCCCCTTCTTTTATTTTATCTCGAGCTCTGATTTGGCATATGAATGTTGGGATGTTTATTTATTTATTGAGTGATTTTGCTTGTTAATTTTGATAGTTGGACGTTGGATTCCGTGACAGTCATCAAAGTCAAACCCCTTGATTTCTCTCCAGATCGTGGATGATGGAGCTGATCTCCATGGCAATAAGAGACGATTGCCACCACATATCTGAACCTGTGTACCACCCACTCTCCGCAGGGTGCAGAAGGGGGTGTGGTTTTCAACCACACTTGGTTGTTGTCCAACGTCGAGAGATCAATCCCTCAAGGCGCGTGTCAGCCGACACTTGAGTGTCGAATGCGACCCTCGAGATTAACGAGGACCGCATGAGTATGGGTACTACATAGTACGCCATCATTGCAACTGCTTGCGTATGCTTGCATTGCGAGTCGATATGAATTAGCCCTGTGTCCGCACGGTTTTATACTAAGTCTCGTGTGCGACGCCTATCGGAGAGTTATGAATGGCTACTAAGAGACTAGGAGTGTTGTCTCGTTGTTTGTCCTGTGTTGTTCTGTATGTGTGTGTGTGCGCGCGTGTTTTAATTTTTATGTTCTTAGAGTGGTGTACGCGTGGTGCGTGGGATGCGTCCCGGTCGACCGACGACGGGTCGCGCTTGGGACTTCAGCCCCTCAAGACGTCGGTTCGAGTGCGGGTCGGATAGAGGTGTAAGACCTCGCGTACCCCTTATGCTACAATGAACGAGAAACGCCATCAGCTAGTCCATTTTTGCGATTGCAGCTGATTAACTTCTCTACTGTGGACTGGTAGGTCGGTGGGGATACGCCCACCGAAGGGAGGTAACAACTCCCGTAAGGTGGAGGTAAGTCATGCCTCGTGTTGACCCTATCATGTCGTTGGGGCTCACGAGAGGTATGGCTGGCGCACTCGGCCGGAGCGGCTTATGGAAGCTCCAGTGTATTGTGACGAGGATTAGACCAACTCCCACGTGACGTGGCCGGGAGGCTCCCGCCCCGTTTTGTGTAGTGCTGGACCAATGCGCTCGACAACGATAAGACATATATATAAGGATTGGGGTTGCCCGCAAGTAGGCTTTGGCATTGCAATACATGAATTAGCGAAGGAAAAAAAAACAAGTACGAAAAATTTGCAAAATAAGTACTTCGACAAACATACAGCTCGAAGAATTAGGAGTTGTCATAAGGGACGTGGGAGAGGAAGTGGTCAGACATTCTCGCCTTTTATATGGTCCTTGCAAAAACGACAAATGATGTTTGGAAGAAGGTCATGAAGGTGTATGATGCTTGGGAGAGAGGAGACTTTCCAAGACGCTATGATATTTTTCCTCGGCGTAAGATTGATACTGCTAGAAGAACTTCCAAAGCAAATTCAAGATCTTATGAAGAAAAAAATAGGAGGATTGTTGTGAATTGGGTTCCTGGAACCGGGGGTACTAATCATTTTGTGGTAGTTCGTGATTTGGATGTGCATGTATGAAAAACCATGGCAACTCTGGGTACTGTCTAGACCCGTTACCCTCTCTCCCCAAACGAGTATTAAGGCTGAGAATGCGGGTCTGCAGGGAATGGATATGTATGTCGATAACATCAAGAAAGATAGGGCAATGTTGAGACTTTTCATTATTTTCGTTGGGAACAATCTCATGACGAATGACAGTAGAGGTAACCATGAAATGACAAAATTTTCAAAGATTTATGCATTATTATAAAGGAATTGAAGTCGGAGGGTTTTATATGGAAAAATTGGGCAGTCAATGAAATAAGTACTTCAAAAATAATAATTATGTTGATAGGTTTCATGAAAAGTTAGGGGGAGAGAATGAGAAGGTGGTAGGCGAGACAAAAAAACTTGCGCAAGCATGTCCAACGATATTCAGAAACTTTGTTGAACGAAGTTTTGACAAGTCGAAGCAAAGCGGATGTGAAAGTATTCGACTGTCAGGGCTGACAAAACACATCCACTTCAAGAATTAAAATTTTATATTTGTGTTTGTGCCCTTCAGGTTTAAGGCGCATGAAGTTCCAAATGACGAGGGAGACGCTACAAATGTTCAGCGTGCTATGAGCATCTTGAATGTCATGTT